ATAAAGTCTTATGCATGAGACGTTTGGGCTGACTCCACAAAAACTTGACTCCTCTCATGTCTTTTACTGGGGTTGGGTTTGGACATCTCTTTGCTCACCTACACATACATAAGTGAGAGTGAGCGATAGCCTAGTGAATAATATCAAAATGAAGGAGCACATGGATGAAATTTGTAGCAGTCATATCAAACGACCTTAGGCCTATTCATGATTCTATCTAATACATCAAACGGCCTCAGGCCCAAACGTATCAAACGGCCTCAGGCCCAATTTGTTCTTATCAAACGGCCTCGGGCCCAATTGGTTCGTGTTAAACGGCCTTTGGCCCATTTATTCGTGTCAAACGGCCTTTGGCCCATTTATTCATGTCAAACAGCCTTAGGCCCAATTTGTTTATGTCAAACAGCCTTTGACCCAATCATTCAAGTCAAACGGCCTTAGGCCCAATTTGTTTATGTCAAACGGCCTTTGGCCCAATTCTTCATGTCAAACGGCCTTAGGCCCAATTCTTTTTCATATTTGTATTTATGTGTGCCACATATCCGTGATCATGATCATATTCATATTTAATTAGTCTTATGCAAAAGACTGATTTATCCACGATTCAAAATATAAATCCTTAAGGCTCATACAGAAGTAACGTTTAGAAAATAATGTGCTTGAACATATCTTTAATAAGATATTACTCACATTGATTTGTCGGATGATTTGCCCTTACACTTGATCCTACACATTTCATAACACATTGGGTCACAAGCGATTCAATCCGTTCTTAAATTGTTTATTTCTCTTAGGCGTTTTCCTTAACCCTTTAACTCATTTACAATGTTCAATACATGTCTAAGAGTGCTTAGAAGTGAAAGTGAACGGAAAACAGAACATAAAACAACTTTTCAAATTTTTCTGAAACAAGGCTCTCCGCTCAAACACAACTTTGGTCGCTCAAGCGGACCCCTTTGGTCTGCAAAAGTACTGGTTGCACGTATTTTATGCTCGAGCGAGAGGTCTTACAAAACAGGATTTGCTCGAGCGTACTCTTTGTTGCTCGAGCGATAGTATAAATTTCTGCGAAACTTCTAGGAGCCAAATTTTAACGCTCGAGCGAGACTTTTCTCGCTCGAGCGGACAGTTCGAATTCTAGGTTTTCCAGAATTTTGTTTAAGCTTCAAACTCAACCCCAAAGGCTCCAAAACTTGCAAATCAATGCCAAAACATAGGAAAACATTGGGTAACATGAAAACCTAGATAATTTGAAACCAATTGACCCAAAATCATGGTCCATCTCCCAAATTTCCCAAATCATCTCAAGTTCTTCAAAACCCAACCAAATTAAGTTACATATTTCCATGAATCATGCATGCATATAACTCATTGACTCCAATTTCATTACAAATTGTATAAATGATGTTTATAATCATGCAACTCAACAAAACTATGCTTGCATGTATGATTTGGTACTCAACTCTTCATGTTTCATGCTCAAATGAACATAATTATGGTGAATGTAAACATACATGTATATACAATTCCAATTTCATTACATTCACTCAATTCTTGCTCTTAGTCACATAATATGCTTGAATTCATTTAGCTATCAGTTTAAATTCATGAATTTGAGCTCAATTACTCACCCTAGGAGTTTCAATTCCTCAAATTATGGCTATTTCTTGTGCTAATTCACTAGTTCTCCAATCTCCTTGCAAAATCTTCAATGTTGAGCCCTTCCTCTCTCTAAATTCGGTTCTCCCTCTCTCTCTAAAGTATAACTTCAGATTTTGAGTTCAAGAAATGGAGAGGTTAAGTGTAATTAAGCCCTTATATATGCATGCCTAATCAAACTTGATTAAGGCTAGGTAATTGTGCTTAATTCAATTAGTTTAATCTAATTATTTTGATTTGAATCAACTTCTAATTAAATTCACCATAAGCTCTAAAAATCATGCTAATCGTAAAAACATAGTCAATTCTACTTTCTAACGTCTCTACGGCCTTCAATTAAATTTTTATAGTAGAAAATTAAATAGATTTTCCTACAGTGAACAGATAAAAATTCAAAAACACATATAATCATATAAATAACATTCAAAATTATATTAAACACATAATCACAATCGTAATCAAGATTAATTAACATAACATGGGAGAGAATTATCACACTTTGGTTCTCATGGAGGGCCCCCAAATGAAATCTGCAGCCAAGTAATGGTAGATATGGTGGGGCAAGGCTATCTTAGGGACTGCTAGAGGACACTAGGTACTTTTCCTTTTCTTTTTTTCTTTTGTGTTCCTTGTTCCATTGTTGTTTTCCTTTCCGATGTATAAAAAAAGAAAAAAAAAAAATTTCATAAGTTATAATTAAAATATTGTTATAATTAAAGAAGAAAATAATATAAGTAGAAGTGCATGTGGTAAAAGTGTGTATGGTAAAATTCTCCAATTGTATAATGACATTATGGGGATGAATAACCTGTAAGTACCAAGTTTTGCAGAATTGTAAACTTTAGAGATATATAAAAAAAATTTTAAAAAAAAACTACAATACTTTTTAATATATGAGATTATTGTTGAGGTAACAGTAAAACTATCATTGAATATTGGGTAACAGTATTTATGTATTGTTTTGGGAAAATTACTATCCAGGTGGAGTTTTTAAAAATCATTACACACTAGTGAATAAATTTATGATTTTTTTTAATATTTATAATGTTTATCATCTTTTTAATTATTTTTTCTGTCCACCACCAAGGATGTGGACGCAAAGGGAGCGATGGCCCTCACTATGATTTTAAAAAATTCCTTTACTATACTATCAATTATCTTCAAATTATATAAACTCGCCCCTTACATTTGTTAAATACTTGTAACTGGCTACTCCCTCTAAGTTTTTGAAAAATCAAAAGTGACCATTCTTGATATGTATGAAACATAGGTGTCAAAGTATGAAATTAAAACTTTTAGACAAAATATAAAAAAGAAATTAGTTTATCATACTCAATATTTGCAAGAAGAAAACAAAAATGGAAAATGATTTAGTAAGTTACTTGATCACATTTATTGAAAAACTTATTGTTCAAAATTTTAATATTGATTCTATTATAACATAAAAGATCGTTAAGTACAATTTAAGATACCTCATTTTAGTATATAAATTATCCTATAGTTGCTATCTTTTGTGACACAATGTGGATACAAGGACCAAAAAAAAAAAAAAAAAAAGTACTTATATATGTTTTCATGTAATTTTTCACTTTATGTAGGTAGAAATTTATGTTGTAATTAATATGTATTAAAAAAAAAAATTTGTTAGTATATATGTTCACCCCTTCTATGTCGAAATCTTAAGTATGTTCTTGTCCACCACCGATTGTTTTTAGATATCATCTAATATGGCACTTTTCATCTTATACCTATAAAATGTTAGGGAAAATCGATGATTCCCCACAAGTAAATCAATCAATGGGAATAAAAACTAATGCGGAAAAATTAAATCAAAGGCAACACAAGAATTTTTACGTGGTTCCCTCAATGTGAGGTACGTCCACGGGATCGAAATCCGATTCCACTATTAACCAAATAAGTTCCAAACGATTACAAACGAGACACTAATAGTCTCACAAAACCACCCTTAGGTGAATTCTAAATAATCACAAATAAACAAAGAGGAAAGACCTCACCAAATAGATGAACCAAAATCTTCTGAACCAGAGTTGAAGAAGACCCAAAATAACAATCCAAATCAACTTCACCAAGCAAACAAATATGCATCCAAATAAACCTTCCAAGCTTCTGTAGCCAAAAGGTACCCACCGAAATTGATAGCTACACCGCGCTTCGGAAAAAGTGAAGAACAAACAATATATATGGCAGCCGTCCATACTTTGTGAAAAACAAACAATATATATATTTATATATTGAATCTTGGGTTTTAAAATCAAACCTAATTGTATCCAAATTGAATTGGGTCTCCTCAAATATAATATATAAAAATATATTATACCTAAACCAAGTCAAATTAAAATTCTTTCACAAACCAATTGGATCCCACACTCCAATAAGGAGGTATACCCCAACATAAAATGATATGTTCGGTACCATGTGAGTTACTATATCGGTCCGTTTGATATTACTTATAAATTAGATTTTATGATTATAAATTTTTAAATTGTTAGCTTAGAAATATTAAAATATTAGACATTTCAGCTAGGAGAAAAAAAAATCGATGGAGCTGAACTAACTGCTCAAGTCGACCAAAATTTTGAAATGTTGTTTTATTTTTTTATTTTTTATAGTGGATGATATGTTTTGGTTTTGAAAAACTAGATGAAATAAACCAAATTGATCAAACTATTATATACTAAAATACTTTTATAGTTTAATTTTTTTGAGCATTAGCAAATAAGTGTCGAATAATACACATTTCATAAGGAATGGAAACATTTATAAAACAACTCTCACCATTTCTCTTCGTTTATTCTTAAGGTGATTATTAATTTTTTTAAACCCTTTAAAATCTCATGTGAATCCCTTCTCCACACCAAATCGAAAAACCAACAAAATTGGACGGTAACATACAATCTATTTCAATTATTTAGCCAACAAAAACAAAAAAGTTTGGCTTAGCTAAACTTTTCCTCACTCCCAACTAAACAATTTTAAAGTCATTCCTCAAAAGAAAAAATTTAAAGCCATGACATTATGGTCTAGTGCATTACTTTAGAGACTTGTAAGAGAAATGTTGGGGATTCAACTCTCCCAAAATGCTAACAATTAACAATTGATTTTTACTGATAAAAAAAAGGATTAACTAAACAAATTAGAAGCAATTTTGCAACAAGAATATGGACAGGCAGAGGTGCTCCAGCATAACATTGATATGAACTATTTGTACCATACTTTTAGGCTAAGTTTAGATGACAGAAAATTTGGAGGAAAATTAGAATGTAATTAGATTAGAAAAGTAATTCCCGATTATCTATTTCAACAGGAATTACGTTCACAAATAAGTAGGAATCCAAACGGTTGAATAGCATTAACACATTACCAGAAATCTCATTACTAGTAACAACATTCCCATTCTTCCAACGGTTGTGTAATCCAAACATACCCTTACTCTATACAATGTCTGGGTAGATAATCTCATTTGTTGTATTGATATCTTCTGAATTAGTAATATGGTGATACATATGATCCAAATGTGGCTAATACATAGTGAAACCATCATCATATGAGACATGCCATCCTTGCCTACAAGGTGGAGCATTCTCACCATACTCGGCGCAACAGCTCCATCTCTTTTTCCAGTTGACACTTCCAGTGTTTGGTCTATTATTCTTCTCGTTCCATTTGTAAACAATCACTCCAGATCCATCACTCCACTCTCCGTCAATCCCTTGATGAGGTGGCACAAATGCGAATAATCCCTTCTCCCCTACAAATATCAAAAGCATAACTTATGCTTAATTCGGTTCTATTAATGCATCTAAATATGGAGGCATGCTCATGCATAGCCAAGGCTGAAAATTAATCAAAGAGCATATAAAAACAAAACCTACACATAACATTGATACTATCATGTGACAATTTACATCAGTAATCAAAGAGACTTGCTATGAGTTTATTTTAGGACGAGCCCAAAAGAGATGCTTCTGAACTAATACAAAGTAAAAAAAATTTAAGCTAAGTTCATCGTCGTCCTTTCTAAATCCAAATGAAAGTATGAGAAATTTGTTTGTTGAAGTGATTTAAGAAAGAAGTACGAGCATGTGCTTTCTGAGAATTTTTTAAAGAAGCTCAAGTTGAAAAAAGAGTTTTATATAGAAGATGCAGTCAAATGCTGACCTTAATGTATCTACCCAATAAAGGACATTTGAATGCCAGAATAGGCAGTTAGAAACTGGCAACTAAAAATTATTAGTTCACGATCACAATTAACATGAGCAAATGTGCAAACCCACCAGAAAACCGGTTAATTCATGGTCTGAGGAGACCCTAATAATCAAAAAATAAACGTCTTCACAGAAGTCAAATAGTGATCTCCCTCATAAAGCATACCACAATTACAACAACAATGAAGCATTTATATTTGACGCGAGATGATCGTCTAAGTGTATGGGATATGTGTCCGAAAGACTAATTTCAAAGAAGAAAAGATCCTTACTTCACAGCAATTCTCACAAGTAGTTTATGCTCCATCATTTCATATTGGTGTACACACACGAACATGTTATGTGATGTAGAAGCCAATATGCTCAAGTGATTTGAAGAAACAAAAATTGGGCATTTTGACATTTAAGTCAGATATCTTATTATTGAAAATTAAAAGAATGCAATACGAAGGCATGGATTTGCATTTTGCACCCAATGCATGACCAAATTTAATAGGCATAAGAACCTACCAGGACTTGCTAGGCCAGAATTATATTATGAAATCTAATTTCTTATAAGTTGCAAACTGAACTAAAAAACATGGCGTTTCAGATTGTAATCAGACGTGTTAACATTTTAAAAAATGAATTCCTCTGTCATTCTGCACCAAAATAAAGATCTAAGTAGTTTGTGTGTCATTGAGCACCAAAGTAACATCTACTAGAGAAAAGCTAAACTTCAAGAGTAGGAAACTGAATGAGACAGAGCATTGGGCTAGGATAGGCTATGGAAGGAGCAGCACAAAGAAAGCTTATAGGTTTCAGCCAAAGTGTCTTTACCACTATATACAATTTAACAAATTAAGAGGACAAAATCATTGTTGCACAGAAGTAATGGTTTCAATATAAGTGATCACACAAAGGGTGGATGGTGATGTATAAATTGGTGGTCTTGTGCAAGTTGATGCTTACAAAGAAGTCGGCAGCCATCACAGTGGTCACGGTGATGTACTCGAAAAAGGTGGTAATGGTAGTGAAGTTGGGCATAATTTAATTCACTGTATTTTAGTTTCAATTTCAATCTTAAAAAGTTAATAAATAAATAAATATAAAAATAAAACAGAGGAGTTCTAAAATAAACACCAGTGCCGGCTGACGAATCTTTGCCACTTACAAAGGGCTAAATGGTTATGTTTTATTGATGATATTAGGGTGTTTTTGGATTTAACAAAGAAAATTGTTAGGGTGCCTTAAGAGATTCTTTTGAAATTTAAGTCTCCTGTTGGAATTTCAATGGAATTCCAGTTGAAATATCCAAATTAGGGTTCTCTAAGATAATAAAACTTCCTAAAATTAAAAAATCTTGACATGTGTCCCAGACGGCTTTGCTGTATTACATGATATTCCAAACCAGAAATACATATAATTTCATCTTGAATTGCTATGTAAAAATTGTCAATGGAACCAACCGAATTTCATGATACATTCAAACAATCAGTAATTTTATAATCAAAACATGGCAACAAGGTGGGTTAGATCAAATAGATATATGTGATATTCAAAAAGTTGCACACTTTAACTGAAACTGATGGTCACTGTAGTATATCATGATTTTCTCATTACTTGAGGTTAATTAGTACATTAGTACCTAAGAAGCATAGACACGGACACGGACACGTGACACGATATGGATACGACGTGTATATGCCGACACGTTAATTTCTAAAAAATGCAGGACTCGACACGTGGGAGACACGCATGAAATTTTATATATTTATTATATGTTATATATGAATATATCATTCAAAGATAATAAAAAATATAATATGACACTAATTCCTATAAATTTATATAGTTTTTATTTTATTATTGTATTTTAAGTTGTTTTGTTCATTTTCACATATGTCTAACCGATAGACACGTGTATTTAAGTGATTGACACATGTGTCCTCCAAGTGTCCAAAGAGTGTCTAAGTTTTTAAAAAAAAATTAAAAAATAGGATACGTTTTGAAGAGTGTTGGACACATGTCCTAAGAGTGTATCCTAAGAGTGTCCTAAGAGTGTCGGTGTCTGACATAGACACGACACAAATACATCACATTTTTAGAAGTGTCTGTGCTTCTTAGATTAGCACACAAATAAAATCCCTAGGATTTGTTTGATTATGTTTTCGGTTTCTCTATTTTCCTTTCTCATTTTTGTTTTTCATGTTTTCTGAAACAAAAACAATGAAAAGTTTGAATCCATTATTTTCATTTTTTGTGCGAAAACAATTATAAGAAATTGAATTTTTTATGTTTTCCTGAAAAGTGGGTTGTTTTCATGAATTTTTTCAAAAACAATTTTTGGAAGCAGTTTTCCAAATAAATTTTGTTCGTTTGCCAGAAAATGAAAACTCGTATGAGGAAAAAAAAAAAAAAAGAAGCAGAAGAAATGCTACTTTACACTCCTCCAAAGGGTGTGCACCCAAAATTTCTGTCACAATAACTCATAACTTCCACCAATTTAGGTCATAACCAAAATCAAATTAATTCATAACTAAACACCACAAAATCTTATAACCAAATTCGCCACAAATTTAACCACTACAAAACCTTATAACCAAGCACCACATAATATGCAAGAGGGAGGGTTAAGTATTTCAAGACCCCCTCAACCATTAGTGAGAATCATTTACTGTCTCATCTATGAATCCATACATTTTGACCTTTTCAACTGTAAAAATCTGTTACTTTCACCCCTCCAAACCACCTCCCTCTACAAGGGGTGCATTTGTACGATAGATGAGGGGGTAAAAGTGATACTTGCTAATAGCTAATAGTTGAGGGGATTTCAGGTGTAATTAAGGGCAAGTTTGGGATTTTTCAAAAAAGATAAAAAGATAAAAAGTTACTTAAAAAGTTAAAAAGTTAACACTATTCACTAAAAGTCAACAATTACAGCTGCACAACTTCCAATTCGAATTTATCATTTACTGTCTCATCTATGAATCCATAAATTTTGACCTTTTCAACTGTAAAAATCTGTTACTTTCACCCCCTCCAAACCACCTCCCTCTACAAGGGGTGCATTTGTACGATAGATGAGGGGTAAAAGTGATACTTGCTAATAGCTAATAGTTGAGGGGGTTTCGGGTGTAATTAACCCTATGCATAACTAAGACCGCAAATCTTTTGAATATGATACACACCTTTTAACATAACTATATTCATCACAAATTTAAGCACAACAAAAATCTCATAACTAAGAACACCACACAATGCATAACTAGTACAACAAATCTTCATAACTAGTGAATATAACACACTTATTAGGGAGTGTGTATCACAGAAATTTTCAAAACAAAAGCACAACCAATAAAAGAAAGAAAGAATAAAAATAGATTAATTACACTTTTCAACCCAAATTTACTGTTTCGAGTTAAACAATTTCGCCTCAACATTTTAAATTTAGGCTAAGTTTGGGATGTTCAAAAAAAATCAAAAAGTCAAAAAGTCACTATCCTATTTAAGTCACATCATCACCTCTCTACCACATCACTTCAACCCCAACCCATATTTCATAAAAAAATCAAAAAGTACACTTATTTAGAACATTCCAAACAACTCCTTAATTTCAATTTAGTTCTTCCGTCTAAATTTCTGTTAATTTTGTATACATTTAGACCTTATAAAATTGACAAGTAAGCTTGTTTGGTTTCATTTCATGGGATTCACTTTTCAAAAAATTAAAATTTTTTATTTTCTGTATTTTTTTGTTTTTATTGAATTTAATTAATATTTTAAGTAATTTTCTTTTAATTTTTAAACATATAATATTTGTAATTTTTTTTAAAAAAAAATTCAATAAATATTAAAAATATAAAAATTAAGTTCTTATTCTTGTATTTATTAATTTTTTAAAATATTTTCTTACAAATATTTTACTTTTTAATATATTTAAGTAAGATACACAAGTAAGATACATTAAAAAAAGGTTTTAAAAAAAAATTATTTAAAATTTAAAAAATATTTACTAAAAATAAAACAAAAAATACAAAAAAAACAAAAAATTCAATTTTTAGAAAATTAAAACCAAACACAGATAATTTTAACATTCAATTTGGATGGAATGACCAAATTAAAAGTATAGGAACCAATGTTCAATTTGGTCGGGTTGGTTTGGGATGTTATAAAAAAGTGCATTTTTTGACTTATTAGTTTATATGAATTAAGTCTGGGTTGGATTTGATGTGATGTGTTAGAGAAGTGATGTGATTTAAATAAGATGATGTGATTTAAATAGGATAGTAATTTTTTAACTTTTTGTATTATTTAGTAGATGCCAAACTTGACCCTAGTTGACATTTGAATCCAACTCCAGAAGTAAAAAGTGTAATTAACCCCAAAAAAATTCAACAGAGAAACTATTATATATGTGTCCGAGAGATGAGACGAATAGCATATCCATACCAGTTGTGTGGCCATGGAAAGAGCAAGCAGTTGGAGAGTTATCTTTGTCTTGGTAGAGAGTGTTGCACCTCAAGCATCTCTTCTCTACAATGATTTGAGCTGTGTGTGGCTTTCCCTGATTGGTGTTTGAGCTCATCAGCTTCATCTTCATAACATTGGGTGGTTTAGAAAGAAGGTTTTGTGCTGTAATGTTGTAAGCCAAAGCCATTTGGATTGAAATTAACTTGCCAAGATGAAGGAAAATTGCGCTGATGAAAGGGGTTTTGGGGGTTAGATGGGATGATTGAAGATTTGCCTGCTGTTTAGGGTTGTGATACATAACATGTGATGTGAGAGATTGAGAAGGTAATTGAGCAGTTATTTGACCGGAGAATTGGGCATGGGAATGAAGCTTTTGTAGTCCCGTATCAAAATATTGGGTCTGTTTGGTTTTGAATTCAAAACGTAACTCACAGTATGATGTTTGGTTGTGTGTTTGGAATTAACTTTCAAAATCTCTATCACAGCTGTGTTTTTTGTGAAATTTTTGGTCAGGGGAAGACCGCCCGGACGTTCTTGGGGTCATCCGCCCGGACGTCCTTGGGGACATCCACCCGGATGTCCTCCGCTGTACAGAATTTTTTTTTTTATTTTTTTTTTTTGCAATTGATTTATATAATTGGGAAAAATATTTTCTAAATTTTTTTTAATTTTTAATGTGCTTTAAAATAATTTTAAGTTGTTTGTTTAATTATGAGTTGTAAATTTTTATATCACATATTAAATATTACATCAACAATTCCCTACTCAAATCAAACATCTTTTCCAAAATTATTTTCAAAACTCTTTACCAAACAAATTTTCTATACTCAAATCATAATTCTACAACACACAAACTCAAAATACAACTCATACTCTCAAATCACATTTACAAAACACAACCAAACGCAACCATTATTTCTTTATTTATTTTTTATTATCTTTAAATATTAATATTTTTTTAAAATCAAATATAAAAATAATATAATTTTTTTTATCCTTCTTTTAAATTCATTAACAATATAAAAAATATAATTATGACATTAATATTTTCTAAAAAAATATAATATCAAATGGTAATTTTGAAAAATCAATTTTTTGAAAATGTAATAATTGTACTATCAAAAAAAAATTAAATTTTCCAAAAAGAACCACTATTTTGAGACGGTAGGAGTTAAATTTTAGTTAAAAGATTTTGGTTAAATTACATTTGCCACTCCTGAGGTTTCTGACAAATACAGGGACTTTCCCTGTAATTTGAATAATTACAGTAACCTCTCTTGCTTTACCTGACAATATCAAAATTCCCCCCTGCCGTCAAAAATTACTAAACGGTGTTACTTTTTCCTTAGAAAATTACCTTATTGCCCTTCCCTTGAAAATATTAAAAAATGTTTTTGGATTGGAGGATAGGTTTGGAGTGTTTGGAACAGTATTTTTTGATTTATTTTTTTAAAATATTAAAAAATGTTTTAAAAAAATTATTTTTTATTTTAAATATGTAATTTTCATTTAAATATTTTATTTTATTTTGTAAGTATTTTAATATTTTAATTTTAATATTTTAAACTCAAAACACAATTTCACACTCAAATCGTAACCAAACACATAACTCAAAACTCAATTCAAAAATTATTTTCAAACCTCATAACCAAACACATAACTCGACACTCCACACTATTTTTAAAACTCTACATTCAAATCATAATCAAATGCATAACAAAAAAATAAAATATTTAAAAATATATTTATAAAAAACAATCCACTAAGAAGACATAAATGAATTACATAAGTGTACTCTTAATTACCTAGTGAATCCACACCCAATTGAACCGATCTCTATGTGCCTTTTCCACCATCGTCTTCACCTCAGAATTATCTCGTCCAACATTGAATCCACAACATCGATGCCAAATCCACGACAATGAGCCACTCCGGAATCCACCAAAGCTTCAGGCTCACGTTATCTGGAATCCACTAAAGAACATCTCCCTCTTTTGTGAATAAATGAAAACAAACAAACCCTTGATAATGTTGATATGAAGTTCACAAATCCATTGATCACTCTTAAATCATCAAGGA